TCACCGTTGGACTATTTCGTCTCTGGAAAAGGCATTCTTTAGAATTTTTTTGCGGTAAAATTCTGAACTAGAATGCACTAATTTGCATTATGCACGCAAGGTAGATGCCTCGTGGACGTCTAGAAGGCATTCGAAGTAGGATTGGTCGTGGCGTGTAATTGTGCTATTCCGTCAAGTGGTGTAGCCATGGTGACCGGTCGGCCATTTTTGTGTTTAAAACGGGACCCGACTACTCGAAAGTTTCGAGCGAGGTATAGAGCTTAAATCTGTGGTTATTTAGCATGAATATAGTGTATGTTGTGTATGCGACGAAACTCTCTGAGTATTTTTAATTAATTTCTGTTTGATGCTTATTCAGGCTTGCTGCCTATGGAAGCCTTCTACTGTTGTACAACACCTATAATTCGTTCCGTTGTTAAACATGGCAGGCCGCGCACAGAGTGTGATCAGTGAGCATCAAAGTATCGCCGAGCTAATGGAAACACCGTCGTAAGTACCAACAAAATAGAACGCCGACGCTAAAATACTCTCCCTGCGGTGTGCTCGAGCCTAACCGCGGCCGAACACTAAAGAAACGATGACTTCATGTTAGTCAGTGTTTCTACGTGTATTCACGTTATACCGACTCTCTTCTACGTTCTTAACGCAATAACGTTAATCACTTTAAACACTCGCCAGATTACAGCAACAGAGCAATTCGAGCAAATTTCTCAGTGATTTCGAAAGTTTTGTCAATAATTCAAACACACTCGCAATTGATGGATTTCCTAGTCCATCCTGATGTCCTGAACAACATGATAACGACTACAATAGAATGCTAAAAATAGTCGCTAAAAAAGGAGCGGCGCTGACGGACCCCCTATATCACGACTACATACGACTACGAACATCAAAACAATACAAAATCGACAAAAATCGTTCGACGGAGATAAGCTATCATGTCCTCCACTCGCCAGACCGCGTAATCCGCAGGCGATATCGCCGTTGACTCACACATCTAGTCTTGTTGCAGTCAAGCCTAATGCATCTACACCCGTCAGCGGAAAAATATCCGCCTTAAATCGGCAGTCCTAGCGGCGATATATATACATATATATATATATATCAGAAGTAGATAATAGGGAAGGAGTGTAGTCAATAGATAAGGGAAATTCGTCATTTACTAGCCTTAGAATACCTGCGATTTACTACGCGTAACTCAACCAACTTGAGCTCAAATCGTACACAGTACATTCGCCTAGCATCGTGCGAAATCGTTTCTTCGTATACACCCGCAATCCGGAGATACAGTCTAAAACGTACGACACGATTCTCCATTCTGTTGCCAGCAAATCGACTCCATAACCCGCCTAACTTGAAACAATAGGCAGCTACTAACGACTCTTGGGCACTCTTGCGCCCTCGGCGATGCGGTGTGGCTCGCTTGGAGATTGGACATCCACGCAACCCTCGGCGAGCTAATCTTTGACCTATTTACAGCTGGTATGCCCCCACGCATGCACGCCTACCGCAATCAGCAGCAGCTCCAGCTCCAATCTCCCAGGCGAATGATGCTAGGCGAATGTACTGTGTACGATTTGAGCTCAAGTTGGTTGAGTTACCCGTAGTAAATCGTAGGTATTCTAAGGCTAGTAAATGACGAATTTCCCTTGTTTATTAAAGTCACACTCCTTCCCTAATATCTACTTCTGATATACATATATATACATACATATATAAGCGTAGCCGCATACATATTCGCGTTATATGACGTTGAGAAAACAGCAGCTGGCGCTCCTGCTTCTCGGTTTATACGCTAAACAGCTTCGCCACACACACACGCACGCACGCACGCATACACACATGCACGCACGCACGCGCGCACACACGCACGCGCGCACGCACGTACGTATACGCACGCATTCACGCGCGCCCGGCACACGCACGTACACACGACCCGGGCACACACACGCACACACGCACGCACCCCGCACGCACGTACGTACGCACGCATTCACGCGCGCCGCACACGCACGCACACACACACACACGCACGCACACACACGCACGTACGCACGCACACACACACACACACACACACACACACGAACACCCACACATACACACACACACACACACAACACACACACACACACACGAACACCCACACATACACACACACACAACACACACACACACACACACACACACACGCCACACACACACACACGAACACACACACACACACACACGCGCGCGCACGCGAGTATCTAATGATCACATCGCTGTCATCATTGCCGCGAGGGGGCGCGTCAGCACGCATCACATCGACAACTCTCCTACGAAAGATCATATTATATAGCGACCACTCATCCGAAATCACGTGCAATGACGTGTAGTATACGCAACGGAGCGGAACGTCCGCCATTTTAGGAAGCAAAACCCGCTCGCCTCGCTCCGCGTCTGTTTGATATACATAGAAATAATATAGCTATCCATGGTTACATATATATATATATATATATCTATATATATATCTATATATATATATGGTTTATCTATATTATTTCTATGGTTTGATATGCCTATCGCGGTGTAATCAGTGTTGTGGGGGAACAGTACGTGCATATGAGTACGTGTGTGATACCATAAAAGTGCAAATATATAGGCTCTATCTTTAATTAATTTTCTTATCTTATTTTTTTATTTTTTTAAATTCCACTTCTACCCTAGCAATAAGAAATAAGAACCTTTTTATATTACAATACATGCTATACAACCTTGTACATTTTCCTCCTTTTAATATTATTATGAAACAAGCTCTAACTTTTCAAAGATGCATTTGATATTCTGATGGTGCTGAATCTAGTCATAATAAAGAGTTGACATAAAATATTATATTAGTGCAATGAATGAATATAATGTCAATGATTCACTATAACAATAGCTTATATCATTCTTTTGCCATGTCTATAACAACATCAAGTTCTTGACCAAGAGTCATTACATTCGATGTATTAACGTGCGATGATACCATAAAAGTGCAAATATAGGCTCTATCAATTCATTTTATTTTATTTAAATTCCTCCCCCCGGCAGTAAGAAACAAGGTATGACGAATTGGTACACAGCAGACAGTTGCACAGCAGCAGATACAGCAGCATCCGGGAACTTCGTGTGAACCTGCTTACTAAAATGGCGCTTGTATTGACCCATGACCTACTACGCTGTAATTGGAGAGTAGTCTATCTTGCGCCTCCGGCACTATACGATCTTTGTCTCCTACTACGCTCTCACAACTAAAGTGGCAATCTCCTAATGCGGGTACTTTAGCAGCCGGAGTCCCCCCTCCGTCTCACGCTGCGGCTCCCTGAGAGTACATAGAAATAATTATGGGCACAACGTCGGCAGGCCAGGTGATAATCATTGGACGCGACAAACGTAATGTAATTGAAGAGAACACCTTGGTTACACGCGTACACATATGTTTGCGCAGTAGTATAACGAATGTTCGACTGCCATATACCTAATGATGCCATTTACACACCACACACATACACACACACACGCACACGCACACGCACACGCACACGCACACGCACACGCACACGCACACGCACACGCACACGCACTCGCACACGCACACGCACACGCCACACCACACACACACACACACACACACATATATATATGTATATATATATATATATACATACATTTATATATATATATATATATATTATATATTACGCATGCACACATGTTCACGCAGTATAGTATAACGAATGTTCGACCGCTATATACCTAACTATGCCCTTATTAGGTCTATATATGACAAACGATGTCCAATTTTCCATATCTAATGATGACGCTGCGCAATTTCAAAATCCACCGTGTGATCACTGATTGCGCATATCACCACGTTGCAACCTAATACACACGCATACACAACCACATACATACCCACCTATCTACACGACTAGGTATTCTACGTAATGAAAGATATTCAAGCATTATTATACATGTAGCATACGACGAAGCCAGACGAGGTACTCAGTAAATATGGAGATTCTACGCTTTTATCATACTCTTCGCCCAGCCCGCGTTTACGCAGGGCCGTAGGCTGAGCAAATTCCTAAGGGGGGGTAGTGGCGGATCCAGGATTTCAAGGAGGGGTTGAGAAACAGGGGTCTGTGAGTACTCCCACAGAAAATTTAAAAAATGTAGATAGCAGGAGATATTTGAGTATTTGAGGCACCTTTGAGTACATGTACAGCCTTCATTCTGACTACGACAATTCTCTTTCAGTAGAACAATATCTTTTTTTTTTATTTTGCTCCAAAATCTACTCCCCCGCAGGCTACGGCCCTTGACTACGTGCTGTCCACTAACTTCTTAGCTGAACACGCTAAGACAACAGTCTTGAGCGAACACCCGTTCATTGTGCATCCTCATCGGTTTGTAGATACCACCGTGTCTACGAACTAACCGCCGCCACGCCACGCTTACACATGCGTTAGCATTTTCACTAAGCATCACTCTTTAAGACACATCTAGCCTTACAGACCAACCCCGCTGGCACTATCAGCTCTGTCGCTTCCTGTCACTGCACAGCATACACGCGAGCTCGTCAATTGTATATACATACGCCTATTTCGCGCTATACGCAGACACGAACGTTCTCACTGTCTCACACTCCTCCTCCCATCTCATCCGGCTCCTTATCCTCCTTCTCCTCACCCCTTCCTCCTATTCCTCCGCTTCCTCCACCCCGTCGCTTACATCACGATAACATCTCACACGTACGAGGTCCACCTCGTACCATACACTGACGCCACGCTCCCACCACACCCCACGTCCGCCGCACTTACGCGATGGCGGCGAACACGTCGAGGGACATCTCAATGCCATAGACTGCCGCTGCGCCCCCCCCCGCACCCCACTTACGCGATGGCGTCGATCACGTCGAGGCCCATCTCGTGCCCATAGACTGCCGCCACGCCCTACCGCACCCCACTTACGCGATGGCGTCGATCACGTCGAGGCCCATCTCGATGCAGCATGCGGCGTGGTCGGAGCGCGCCTCCGGTATGCCGCAGACGCAGTAGTAGCAGTCGCCGAGGATCTTGATGCGCAAGCAGTGGTTCTCCTGCGCCAGCTTGTCGAAGCGGGCGAACAGCTCGTTGAGCAGCCTGACGAGCTCCTGCGCCGTACACTGCGACGACAGCTGCGTGAAGCCGCAGATGTCCGCGAATAGGATGCTGCGGGAGAGACGAAGAGGTGAAGCCATGAATCCGCAGATGTCCGCAAACAGGATGCTGAGGAAGAGACGAAGAGAGGTGAAGCCACGCAAGACGAGCGAGATGGGGTGATAATACAGAGAAGGGGGAACGAAGAGATGTGAAGACGGGCGTCGAGGTGATAATACAGAGAAGGGGGAACGAAGAGAGTTATACAAGATAGTTACATCAAAGCGTACAAGCAATACGACCACATTGCGTAAAGTGCACCACACAAAAGATTGCTAAATTGTTAGTAATTATTATGTTGCTATAAGAGATTGTTAGCGTGATGCTCACAATCTTCTGACGGCGTAATTCGTTTAACCATAAAGACACTACACGATTTAATTCATCCTTGACCGCAAAAGCTTTTAGGATTGGCACACGTTTTATACTCGTTAGTGCGTTGATGTGTGTGTTGATTATAGAGGAGACGCACACAAATCAGCGTCATATAATAGCTGCGCGTAGATTATTTTCGTTTCGGGAAAAAAGACTAGGGCTTGAAAAAACAATTTTTTATCGATTTATCATTATGGTCTCAATTTTTTTCAGTTTTTCCCGGCGACATTTTCTAGGTAGTTTATCTTTAAATTAGCATGAGTTCCGCGGCATAATTTCTAATTCCGTTGTTAGTGCATGTTCCATCATCAGGCTATGCGTATCTCTGCGAGCGTAACTACAATTAGGCAATGGCCGAGAGAAAAAAATTGGTGCCCATGTTCAATTTCATTTTCAAAGACGGTATGGAACTTGCACGCAATCTGGTCTGTCTACGCTTAGAAAGAGTTTTCAGCTGGGGTTTGTATCAATATACATCAATATATACATATATTTATTAATGATTTGGTTAGGATGACGATAGATAGACCCTTTTCCTCGATTGATAGATATATACCAAATTGCGTGCAAGTTCCGTCTACGAAAATGAACTTATAGAATATATAATGTCAAACGTGTATTTAACAATAAGACATTACAAATTTAAAACTAAATTACCGGAGCCTGAATTAACTAAATTAAAACTAAATTATGTTCATAAGTCAGATCCCAGGTATCGGCGACTCGCGGTCGAGAATGTAAATGCTTTGAACAGCCGATAGAAAGGTTGATAGAACGTTGAAAAGTTTATCAACTCGTCGACTTTTCGATAGTGTACACCCAGCTTTAACCGCACTGCTTCAGTGCTATCCGGTGTTTCCCCCAGTGCTTAAACTTGCGCTTACATTTACGTTAAGAAATATGGTGGGATTTCCGTGGAAGCCAGGATTTCAAAAAACAATTTCCGACCAGGCGAATTTCGTAGTATTTCGATAATTTGACATTGTAATGTTGTACTGTGATGCGTCTGTTCGCTGGGGGTTAGCTCGATGAATGCCCGTTGCACGGTCCTCAAATCAATCTATCAGTCCGCAGTGACGGTGTGACGTAAAGTGCCGATGCCTGGCAGATGTGGCTTATATAGCGGCAACGCCTAACCGGATTAGTGAGAGCTAGATTTTGTCGGAAAACTATTTTGGCGGGAACCAGTAAGCGATGCTGGCGTGCCTCTGTTAGGAGATGCTATCTAATCTGACATTGTCTTAAACGCTAAGCGTCGCGTAGGCCTCCTTCGTCAAGCCATCTTTTCTCTGGCGCGAGCTGTCAAGTGCGTCCGTCATTGTCTTATCTAATTCTCTTGTCTTGTCTTGTCTTGTCTAATTCGATTGTCTTGTCTTGTCAATGTCATCGTCAACTCTAAAACGCTAAGCGTTAAGCGTAAGCGTAAGCGTAAGCGTAAGCGTAAGCGTAAGCGTAAGCGTAAGCGTTAGCGTTAGCGTTAGCGTAAGCGTAAGCGTAAGCGTAAGCGTAAGCGTAAGCGTAAGCGTTAGCGTAAGCGTAAGCGTAAACATACAAACAGGTGTGGCAGTTCGTGAGTATGGCCCCAACAATGTAATACTTCGCCACAGGCTGAAGAAAGATTTTTAAGTTCTTTTTATAGTCTAGGAAAGCAAATAGATTAATCAGTTTTCCAAACATTCACTCAACGCACTCCCTCACAGATGACATGCGTGCATTGAATAGTTCTTGATCAGGTGTCAGGCGAGCACCGCGGTAAGGTGCTAGGAGTTGCATGGGGCTTCACAGGATATGCAGGATCTCCATATAATCCAAATGGAGTGTAATTTGCTGCTTGTGGCAACCTCACCAGGTTGTCGAGAAGACCACTCTCATTGAGAAGAGCACAGTCATGTCTGCGTCCTTCCATTGGTTCATACAAGTTTGCAATGAGTCCGTTTGGCAAAACGACAGATTGGAATTTAATTGCATGAAGTCGTTTGTGACCATTGTAGCAGACTCGCTGGTTGTGAGTTGGTCTGCAAATGGGCCGCACAGTACCATCAACGAATCCAAAACAGGTTGTCAGAGGACTTCCACTCATATGGATGGCATCAGCATAGGCTTGAAGATGCTCATGGTCCAACCAGGAGTGATCTAGTGATGACACAAGATGTTCGTATCTGCAATAAATGTGGTCAATTGTTTCATTAATCATAACAGACAGAACAGACTTAGGGCGACCAAAAAAACGTTCCAGGTCACTCAGGCGACATGGGTAAGTAAGTCGGTTCAGCACTGAACAAAGCGCCTCATCTCCTGAACCACTAGATCTGTCCGAGTAGGTGACTGTGCTAGGTATCGCAAGAAGTTGTCGAAGGTTTGTGATATCGTGGGGAAGAAATCTGAAAATAACAAAATGAAAAAATGATCAATGATAATGGACTGGACAATGGATTCTGAATTTATATACGCCAATGTTATATCAACAAGTCTGAGTAAGAGTGAAGAAGAGTAAAAACAGTGAGTTTCTGCACTGAAAAAGGACAACCAACAAAACAGAAAAATGTAGGCCTTGTATTTGTAAGACACTTTCGCTTGAGTCTTACTATACTAAATAAATTAGTACATGTGTATCCACGAGGGATGTCAGTCTCAGAATTATTTCATTTTTTTGCTTTTTTCAGAAAAAAACTAACATTTTTCACTCACCTGAAGGAATCTAGTGCTTGATCATCCGTCAAACCGGACAGATCGAATCTTGGCCATGATGGGTCATATGTGTTCAGCGTACTGAATTCTCCCATACGCTCCAACATCAAAAAATCAATCATTTCCTCGTCGTTTTCTAGTAGAGCTATCTCTAGTATGGAGGCCGCCATTTTGAACGAATGCATGCACCGAAGCGCCATCTAGTCGCTCCACGTAACACCAAGCCGAACAAGAAATCATTGCGAACGCGAACGAATACGTCAACGCGAGCTCACTCGCGTTCGCGTTCGCGTTTTACGCCGAGCCGAACCTCTCTACTAAGCACTTTCTCCGGGAAACATCACAGCTGGCTAATTTACTGCTTAAGCAGCACAACGCTAGCAAAAATCTCTGTCGAGAAGAAAATAATTAAAACGGACAGCAGCAGCAGCGCACGCTGCGCCAATATTGTACCTTGCTCGGGAGCCGGGCAATCATTTGCTTGCTTTGCTCATTATTTTACGATGAAAGTGACCCTGAACTGATACCGTGCTATATTGACGGGTTAGTTTATTGACTTATGTATTTAGTTTAGTTTAGTTTACATGTATTATTTTGATGTAAAGCGAATCCCAATGATAAGAGAGACACGTGACAGATGTCACCAATTGTGTATTTAAAAGGCGAGACGAAGCTTGCAAAGCCAGAGAGGCATATTCATAATAACTTGGCGCAATTTCATAACAATGTTGTATATCCAGAAGCTTTGACTACACAGAATCATTGAATCGTTCGAACTGTTTTTGTCAGAATATTGCTTACCGGTATTGTTTGTTTCTCTGTTACGATTCTATACGGAATTAAGTAAAAAAAGTTATAAAAAGGTAAACTGAGCCACCCGCTACCCTATAGAGTGTCGGCTGAGAATTAGCCTTGCGTGTATACCATGCTGGTGGGAGGGCGAGTGTAGTGTCATAAAATTATAGCCAAACCACACCATTTAAATAGCGATAACGAACACATGTGTTTTTCTCATTGTGATTGATGCAACTTGATGATTCGAGCGAGGAAAGGCCAAGTGAAATTGCGATAGAAATGCGAGAGTCGGCACGAATAAACTAATCGCAATATTCGTCAACAGAAAGAATAAAGGCCAATTAATCACTAACACTACTTAATTTTAGAAAGCCGACGTAGGGAATGATATACAATAGAAGTGCGTGCGTCCGGGCGGGTATGCTCGGATTAGTGCCAGCGTGTGAGCGTGTGCGCGCGCGTGTGCGTGCGTGTGCGTGCGTGAGAGAGGGAGAGCGAGGGATAGAAGAGAGAGAGAGAGACGAGAGAGAGAGTTGAGAGAGAGAGAGAGAGAGAGAGGAGAGGAGGAGAGAGGAGGAGGAGATGAGGGTGTCGCGAGCGCCTGGCTGCGCGCGTGTGTGTATGTGTCAGAGAGAGAGATAGAGAACCGCAGGGAGGGTATGTGTTCAGACAAAGAGGAAGAGAGAGAGAGAGGAGGAGAGAGAGGAGAGAAGAGAGAGAAAAGAGAGAGAGAGAGAGAGGAAGAGCCAGAGAGATAAGACGATCGCCGCGCGGCGCACGCGCCGGCAGCCGCGCGACGCGGAGGAGGAGGAGAGAC